ATGTCCTGAAATGAAAAGGAAAACTATGTCCACACACCCCGCCACTCTCACCAGATGTCAAGGGTCGTTCATAATTAGGGTTCTGATCAAAAAGGTGGCGTTATTTAACATAAACTAATAATAAATTCATTTAAACTAGACTACCTTACACTGAATCCTGAACTTGTTTAAAAAACTCATTAGGTTAATGCCTTTTTAAGAACTCCAATAATCGGGAGAACTGTTCTATAAATTGGTTTATTTTTAAAAGTAAAACCCAAGAATAACAAAGGACTCGTCATAACATAAAAATGGCCATCCCAAAAATGGCCAGACTCTCCCCGAAAAAAAATTGGATGGCAAAAACAAGAAGGCTACAAAGGCGTAAAAAAAAGCCAAGAAATATAAAAAATAAAGGACTAGCAAACTAACTAGGACCTGCCCAAAAGACAAGAAGAATAAATACAATAAAATGGTAACATTATTTTGCCATAGAAAAAATCGTGAATAGATTTCGTAAGGACTCGGGAGAACTTCTCCCCGGGCGATAAAGTCAGTTCCGTTCCTCTAATTCCAAAACTCCAAATTCCAGTTTGTGTGTCAGTGATGCGTCGTTAAACTGTAAAAGACCGTAAAAAAGCGTATAATAAAAAAATGAGTGAGTGAGTAGTAGAGTCAGTCGCCAAGGCAAACATACTGCCCTGTTACCAAAACCGCCACCGATTTCCCGCCACAAATGAAAGAGCTAGGGGGAAGAAGCTAGGGGAGCCGGCGAGTAAATCATTTTACAATGGCCCCCCGGGCCATAGGACATAGGCCAGAGGGCAGAAGCCGTAGGCCGCCAACGGCTTTATGGCTCTCATGAAGGACAATCAAGTAATAGCCGGCGATTTTTACGATGACACAGAACTACATAATAAAAGATATATCAGCCAATGTCCGCTACCATCCACATACATATACATATATCCGTCAGCTCCGGAATTCAACAAGCTTGGCCGGACTAATGCCTAAATCGTTACATTTGGCACGCCAATGCCGGCGATGCATGTCGGCAATCACTCTTCCGCCTGTTGGTCCTGTTCGTCCTCTGACAATTTCAATTTTCCGTCTCCTTTCTCCGGCTTAACTTCATATATATTTTGTTTTTCCAATTTTTTTTATATATATTTTTCCTGTCAGCATATCAAAATTGACGCACAACACGCGAGGCGAATAACCCTATTGTCTCGGTCTCAGTCCTCTGGCATTATGCATAGAATAAGTCTTCAAAATCACACGCCCATTAAAATTACTTTGGAAAGTATTATATAGAGGATGTATTTAAGTTTTAGTAGATCTGATTAATTTAAGGACATTTATTTCCGTAGGCATTTTAAACTTCCTTTGAATTGCCCAAAAAAAAAAGCCATCACCCCCTGACTTTGTTTCTCTAATTAATATTGATTATTTCTGCTAATTACCTTAATGAGCTTAGAATACTCAAGTAGAATCCTGAAAGAGTTGAAACACCCAAGAAGAAAAACAAAACAATACTTAATCTACTTTCGGGGAATCGCTTCAATTTTGAATGAACTTTTCAATTTGTCACTTGGCTGGGCAGGAAGGACTCTGGCTTTAATGTTCGTTCGGTTTTCGGGGAAAAACCTTTGCCCGACTTGATTGACAGTAATGACATTTTCACGATTCGCCAGGCGGAAAACACTGTAAAGCTGCTAGATGGCACGACACCAGCAACACCACCAACAACAGCCACCCAACAACCCGACAGTCCATCGACCGTCAACCGTCAACCGACAACCGAGAACCGTCAGTGCGACAGACGTGGCAGTCAATAATAAAAATTGCATGTTGAAAACACATTTGGGATCCCAAAAGTCACACACATTCATTCTGTTGCTCGGCGTTGTCTCCATCGCAGCGGAAGCAACATGAAGGTGGTCCTCCGAGCTCCTGGTCGGTTGACACCCCGATTCCCAGCCCAATGGAATTGAGGAACCCTTTTTCACAGGCCAGGTGGGCTGGGTGGAGCTGTAGCTGGCCTGGGGCTTTGGGGGTTTCCAGTTAATTTATTTTTGGTTAATTTCTTTCGTTAGTTATGTTAGTGCCGCCTGCTTTCCCCGGTAATAGCCATGGCTCTCGCATTTATTGCACATTGGCAGGAACGTTGTGATTTACTTAACTACAGTGAGCGAAAAATCGGGACAAGGATTTTCTGAGGCCCTAATTGCTGTTGGGTTTTTTTTAGGGATATTAGTCAGGTGAGCTTAGCCTACATACCTCATCTTAATGAAAAATCTATAATTGTCAGGAATTCGCCCCTTTCCTTCTAAAATAAAGTACCAACTCCCAGCTGGGGAGCGAAATCTTAAAAGTCAACCCATAAAATATAGAACAAACAATATAAAAAAACGCTTTAGAGTCCCCAGAAAAAGGAGGAGGCGAAAAAATAACAGAAAATATATATTAGCAATAATTCGAAACATAAATTTTTTTATTGCCTCTCGCAATCATTTAATCATCTCGAGTCATCAGTTTTCTCCGGCTTGAAAATGTGTGGCAGGGGGCTGGAGATGGGGTGTTGTAGTGTGTGGCACTGTGGCATGGATGGTGGCAGGATGACGTGAAGTTCGCCCGCTGAAGGAGAAGACCAGAAGACCCCAGGCAGTGGCAGTGGCACTGGCAGAGCGAATTTTGTTGCGCTTCCCCATCGACCATTTGACACATGTGTCACTTGCAACCGTTCCGCTTGCTAGCTGAGTGGCACAGTGGCAGTAATGGCAAGTCAGCTTTTCCGCAAAAAAAAATCTAGCTTCCTGCGGAAAATTCTAGAGGGAAAATGGAAAGAAAAGCAAAATAAAAAGCTTAAAAAAAAGGTTTTTAATACATAGGCTTTAATATGATATTTTAAAATTATAATCCACTTAAAAGCTATATCTTTGGGAGGTTAAAACATAAACAATTCTCCTGTTTTTTTTTGCCATTCAGCAACAACTAAATAAATCCAAAATTTAATTAAAAAATGTCAAAATCAAATATGTTTTTTTGCTGTCAAAATTTTAGCATAATACTTGCATATTTTTTTTCAACAGCACCAAAATATTAACAACACTAGCTGTGGCAGTGGCAGAGTGGCGAATGGGAGTCGTCCGGGTATGGGCCTGTGAGTGCCACAGTGGAGTGTCGCTGAGCCTTCGGTTGACAGCTGTCAGTGTCAGTTTACATAATTTATAGATTTCAGCGCATAAAAAAGTCATAAAATTTACAATGTTGCTTTCAACAAAAACACATTCGGGCGATTCTTCTTCTGATGCCTTATTTTTATGAGGCAAGACATCAATTTTTCGCACACAACACAGTCTAGCCTGCCTATAGCCACTACTATAGGGGTACAATACTATACTAAACAAACACTACTATATGGGGGGACACTCTCTCAACCATTTGTATTTCTCAATTTTTCGATTCCTCAAAAGCAGAAGCCGTAAGGAAAAAGACTGTTTGTATTGCCATTGCCGTTCGGCATTGGCATTCGAAATACTTTTGATTTATTTGTATTTATGTGATTCCTTTCCCATATTCAGCTCCAGCGATAAATTCTCGCACTCAACAAAATACATAAACGATTTATAGTGGCACAAAGCGGTCCAAACAATAACTAGCAAAACGCAGCAAGAAAAGTTGGTAGCAGTAGTAGAGGCACACCGGCGGCATTGAAAGCGACGACCCTAAAAAAAAAAACGAAAAGAAAGGATATCGATGCTAATCCCTCTAGGAAGCATAAATCTTTAATGGAAAACCTTTTGCACCATGGCGACTTGATGTTTATTAAGCCGGCAGTCGGCACAAAATATTAAAATAAATATATAGTACAATATAAACTTTGTACACCAAGAGTAGCATGTCGAATCATTAAAAATTATAGAAAGATTTCGAATTTATAAAATATATCATATTAGTTTATTAAACACCATCTGATAAAATTTTCCATTGCGTACATAATTTATAAGAGGGGAAACCAAATTGATATGTAAAATACGAGTACTAAAATACCAAGTCCTTTGGCTGGTCCATTGAGACCGCGGCCCGCGTCCGGTTCACCAGTAATACGCCAGGCCTCTGGGCTTTGGCAATCCTTAATGAACTCCGTAATGCCATCCACGGTGTATTCGCCGACATGATGTAGCCCGTTCTCCTCATACGACTTGAACATAAACACCTCCGATCTTTTTATTTTATCGCAAAAATCATATTTAACTGGATTCGCCTTGCAATCATATTGCGCCACGCAGAAATAATTTTTTTTGGCGTATAGATCTCCGTGGTTATTCGACACATCCGTCAAGATTTTGTGCAACGCATCGTCTGGTTCTTTATAATACATGACAAGCATATACTCGGGACGTCTTTCGTGGAGATAGGTCTTTGTTTTTATCTCGAACACTGTGCCCTTCTCACATACAATGTCGTCAGCTCGCAATGATCCAGGTAACATCATGATTACAATGGTGACTGCAGCCAGTCCAAAATTATAAAAATTTGCGAAAGGCATTTTTGATACGGAGTTTTCGAAATGAGAAAATAGTAGATGGTGTTATTGAAGCTTAAAACCTCATTTTACTCTGAACGATACAAGTTGATTGAATAATCATGGGGCTTTATTCTTTAGGAAAAGTATACGGGTTGCTTTGTTAAAGATTTTTTCTCCAAGATTTTGTAACCAAAAACCAAGGGCCTACTTGTGTGAGGTTTTTGTATTTATTGAAGGTGTATACCCTCTTTTAAAGACTTCTAAGCCTCCAATTATGATTAAGATGATAGGTTGAATATATATCATATCATAATTTTTTGACTAGAAAGTTTTCTTCCAAAAAAAAGGCATAGAGGCCCTCAGATGGTTGAACACCTAATACCAAAATATTTTAAATAAAGACGGCGATGAGTCAAAAGTATCCCCTGTTAGTCACAATTGCCTGAATGCTGTCAAGATTAAAGGAAACCTTTGACTAGTATTTCTTCTACTCAGAGAATTGAATTCCGTAAGGTGATCCCTTTATTTCCCTAAGAACTTACCTCTAACCATTTCACAGAAGCACCGAAATGTCAGAACCTGTGAAGAAGGATTCGCCCGAGTATTCGTACTTCTTTGGAGCTATGGGAGCGGCCTCTGCGATCATATTCTCCGCCCTGGGAGCTGCCTATGGAACGGCCAAGTCCGGCACGGGAATAGCGGCCATGGCCGTAATGCGACCGGAGCTGATCATGAAGTCCATCATTCCGGTGGTAATGGCCGGCATTATAGCCATCTACGGACTGGTGGTATCCGTCCTGATTGCCGGATCGCTTTCGGATAATTACACCACTCGCAAGGGCTATATCCATTTGGCTGCCGGACTGTCTGTGGGATTTGCCGGACTGGCGGCGGGCTTTGCCATTGGCATTGTTGGAGATGCCGGAGTGCGAGGAACTGCCCAGCAGCCCCGCCTCTTCGTCGGCATGATCCTGATCCTGATTTTCGCCGAGGTACTGGGTCTGTACGGCCTGATTGTGGCCATTTACTTGTACACCAAGTAAAGACTTTTACTTTTAAAATATAACATTTTAACGGTGGAGAGGAGGAAGTTTTCATTTTTAATCAAAAGGGAGGGAGCTTAGCCGGGAACTCACCTGCTCCGCATTTCTGAAGCCATCAGGAGTCCCACGATTATAAAACAGACGCCTGTGACAAATCTTTGCCAACTTAACAATCACATCACACGAACGCAAAGCCAGCGACAAAGTTACAAGTTACAAGCTCCCAGGAGGAGTCGGAGGAGTATGCTGGATATACATACATATACATATATATATTCAAAATGCAAAGTACCCAAGTCCTGGGCCACAAATAAAAACGAGAGTGCGGTTGGGGAGGAGGCGAAGGGAGCAATTGAAGCCCCACAAACAATTCCGACTGCTCCCCCAGATACTTCAACGGTGGCAACAAATTTCCATTTTGAAGGAAATCTGCGCAAGGGGCTGCGAAAATAACATAGCTCCAAGGTGGAGTGGGGTTGGGTGGTATGCTGTGGTGTGGTGTGGTGGCTTGGGTGGTTGCTTTTTAAAAGTGTCGCCGCTCCTTTTTAAGCTCGGCATTCGATTCGGGCTCATATTTTCCAATTTGTTTAATTGAAACAAGTGGAGGGTAACGAAAAGAGCGTCGAAAGCAATGGGGAAAACCACTCAAAGTGTATAAGCAACCGCAGCTTCGATTTTCAATACCGAAAATGGCCCTCTGATGATTAGGGAGGGATTCAGGTCCGGGTCCTAGGTCATTGTTGGGGTTATAAATTTGAGAAGAGAACCGGAAACCGCAGCCTAACACTTTTATAAAATTTGGTAATATATTTTTATAAGGGTAACCTTTTAAATGGGTCTTACATAGATGCAGGGGCATTTCTTAGTCTCAAGTACTATCTTAGTCTACCGAGGAAATATATGTCATTTTTGTATGTCAAAAGAAAAACACATAATTATTAGTAAAGAACAAAACTTGTCAGATCTATTACCTTCGATTCTCTGAGCTGACTTCCTGATCCTCAAAAATGGACGCTGAAGCGGAACACAGTACCCCATCCTATGCCATCTTCTTAGGAGCCATGGGCGCCGCCTGCGCCATTATTTTCCCAACACTGGGTGCTGCCTATGGAACTGCTGCATCCGGCGTTGGCATTTCCGTTATGGCGATCAGCAGACCGGATCTGATCATGAAGTCCATCATCCCAGTGGTAATGGCGGGAATTATTGCCATTTACGGCCTAGTGGTTGCCGTACTGATTGCCGGTGCCATTACAGACGAATATACTCTGCAGATGAGTCATGTTCATATTGGAGCCGGTCTGTCAGTGGGTTTTCCCGGTCTGGCGGCCGGAATAGCCATTGGAATTGCCGGCGATGCTGGGGTCCGTGGAAATGCTCAGCAGCCGAAGCTGTTTATTGGAATGATTTTAATCTTGATCTTTGCCGAGGTCCTGGCGCTATACGGACTTATTGTAGCCATTTACTTGTATACCAAAAATCCATAAAGAAACTGTTACAAAGGTCAACAAAAAAGCTTAAAAATGGTATGAGAGTTTCTTCGTAAAAGAAAATATCTATAGGAAGCGGGAGTATTTCTTATCGAAATCCTGAAATGTTGGAAGTGAAACATAATCTTATAAGCTTGTTAAGAAGAAATTAATGCAAGGATTAATAATAATATGAATTAAATATAAAATTTATAAATATATCTGTATTTAATGTATTTATTTATTTTTTTTTAACTATCGAATTAATGACCTATGATTCATTCCATTTAATACTCCACACTCCCTCCAATGTCACCTTGCCCCAAAAACACTTTTCTGCCAAAATCCCCGCAAAAAGCAAGCTTTATTTCAAGTCCACGATTTCCCAGATAATGGATTCGCATTCTGTTTCTCAATTTCCTGATAATTGAAGCAAGCAAAATAAACATATATGTATATTCTCCAGTCAGCAATCAAATAAATAAGAAGACGAAATAAAAACCACCACATTTCAATCGAAAAGGTGTCGAAATTTCTGAACGACGCCAGGTCGTGAACGGGTGTGTTATTTTTACATATTTACATTTTTGCGAAATAAAATTGTGTGCCTACTTATTGTATTTGGCACGTGTGTCATTTTTGGCAGCTCCGGAGTGTGTTTGCATAATAAATATGATAACACAGAAATATCGATTCGATTTAACCGCAAATCCCTTGAGCCCGGGACTTCCACATCGAAAGTAATAAACGAAAATTTGCAATTTACTTACGGATTCGGATTCGAGGATTTATGGTTCACCTTCCTGAAGATAATTGTTTTCACTTCCGCAGCCATTCGATGAACTTTTAATGCTGAAATAACAGTAAAATGCGAAAAGAGGGCGGTCTCTGGTGGTTTTTGTAAGAGGTGGGTGGGACTAAGCCTGCCCCACCCTATATAGGGTGGCTATAGGCCTCCTCCTCCTCCCAGCCAGACTGACAAAGTGCTTAGCGAAATGGGTTTATTAAGTGCAAACACTTTGTACAAATGGCAGGCAAACATAAATAAATATGTATTTAATGTGTGGGCGGAATGGAAATGAGGTGGAGGAGTCTCTACCCGGAATGAAATCCCAGGCCTCCTCACACCAGCTTCTTTTTCTTGTCAATTTGCATAAATGATAGTTTCTTATCAACAAAATGGGAAAGGACTTTTCAGGAATAAAACTCAATTATTTTTAATAGTTTTAAGGGAAGCTCTTTCGGTAGGTACAAGTATCGCCTATCATATAGCCATATTAAGATTCATTAATTATCCTTAATATAATCGAATAGAAAGAAATAAAACTCAATTTGATGATCAAAAATAATGGTGTAGGAAACTGTATCATTCCGATACAAATGTCGTGTGACCTCCGACCTCCCATCCAAATCAAATATAAATCAAGAAGTGGTTTGTCAGTTCCGCAAACTTGCCAAACGAACTTGTCCTGTCATACATCAAAAGTACATCAATAAATATACATAGAGAGAGAGACTTTTGGGTTTTTCAAGCCATCCATCCCATCGATAGTCGGGGGAGCCATTTGTAAGCTGGCTTTCTGGACTGCTGGCTGGTTATGCTCGAGGGACGTTGGCCATTTGGCCGATTTGTTATTGCCGAAAATGCGGCCAACATTAAAACCGCACACATCAATTGTGGGCGACGGGCCACGAGCCACAGGCCATTGGAGTTTAATTTTAATGCCCCTGACAGATTCTCCCATTTGCTCCTTCAGTTTCCGAATCTTTATTCATTCAGTCAGCCATCACCATTATGATCAGCTTCATATGATATTCGACCTTAATTTAGTTTATCTAATTTTGCCAAAGAATATTGAATAATTCTCCTTTTTTTATGTCCAGTAATATCCATTGTCGAGATTCCCTATGATTAGCTGGATGTTATTGAATCCATTGTAAGCCGGCGACTGAAGCACATCTTGAAGTTTAATCTTTTGTAGATTTTCGTGAAGCCAAGGGTAACCATATTTCGGCTTTTGTCCATCCCGGGACTTAATTTCATTTTCTTATTTCTGTGGCTGAGTATCCAATGATTTGGAAACAATTTATATATTGTGTGTGTTCTCTGGATGGGGAGGGAGAGAGGGGGGTTATATTATGCTGTGCGACAAGGACATTTATTTCTTGCTGATTTCATTTTCGGATTCCGACAAAACCCCCGACCCCATTACCGCTCTCAATAAATACGAAATAAACACTAAATGTGTAGTTGGTTGCCTTCGACTTTCTCCCTTTTTCCTCTTTCTATTTCTATTTACTTTTTTTCTTGCTTTTCTTATTTTTTCCTTTTCCTTTTTTTTTTTTTTGCTGATTGAAGCTTTTCCTGTTGGCAACACCTCAGAGGGCTGACTTTCGTCCTTTGCCCGTGGCATGTTTGTCCTCTGCGTTTCCGTTTACACGCCCACCACACCATCACACCATCATACCACCCAGCCAGATCCGCCGCCACCTCCATTCATCAGCGCGTGCTTGTGCTATGTTGTTTCCTTTGCATTGAATTATTTTTCTGCTGTCTCTTCACTGACCTCCAACCTCCTACCTTCGACTTCCTCCGATATCTTCCCCCCATATCTGTCGCGATTTTGGGGCGTGTTGAGGCGATGTGTTAAATATCTGCCAAATGAAATCGCGATGGCAACAGCAGGTGGGCGACTGGACACTGGACACATATTATTTTGATTTAAAGATTGCTTTTCCAAGAAGGACAATATCTACAAGACAAGGTTCGATACAGGAAGGTAAAGCTTTAAAAATCTATAAATTATTATTACAACAATACAATTTCAATATCCTTTGTTAAATCCAAAAACTTTCAACTCTTTTATGGCAAAGGTCGCATATCTCCACAATGGAAAAGGTCATCCCAGCAATTGCCAAACTCAGCAAAAAAAAAGGGTTTAAGGTGCAAGGTCATCTGAAATCGACAGCCATAAAGTGATTTATAGTTTTGTAAGTTGGACTTTTTTAATGAATTTCTTTCAGAAGTAATCTCCCTTTAAACTGAAAAGGATATCAAATGTGGAAGACGTGAAATTATCGAAAATTGTGAGAATATGTGAAATGGATAACCCCACGATTCGCAGTCTGTCAAAGTCAATCCGGAGACGATTCGCTGAAAATCAAATTTATTTGCTAACCGCACTGAAATTATGAGACAGCAGCAGTGGCAGCAGCAGGATCTGTTTCAGATGAAGGACCAGAACGATAGAGTCCTGGCACATGTGCGTTTTATTGCATTTACTGGCGGGGCAGATGTATGCGTTCCAATTGCTAGAAGACCCTCCTTCCGAAAACCCAATCCCCCCACCACTATAACTATTAAGGTTGTCAACGCCCAGCGTTGCCCCACAATCGCAGAATCGCACAATCGCCATGGCAGACAATGGGTGGCAGCTTTTGTACGTTCAAGTATTTTTATTCATTCTATTCCGTCGGTTGGTTTTTTACTTTATTTATTTATTTCGACGCTTGGATCTGGCTGGATGGCTGGCTGGCTGTATGTCCACCCTCCTAAAGCATTTGAACGAAAATAAGATTTTTATTTTATGCTCACAGTATGTTGTAAATCTTGTCGTTGCCGCTGATGAAACGAAACGAAATTAAGAATTTTCTTCTTTATTTTTTTTTATTTCTTCTGTTCGCAATTTCTGTAATAAAAGAAATGCCAACCAGGACGATGGCTGGGATGGCTGTATGGCTGTATGGGAAGACAGTTGGTTTCTAGGCAAGGCAAATGCCATCCTGCCCGTTCCGACATTCATTATGAAATCATTTGGTATTTATTATTTCGTTTATGTGGTTCCCATTTGAGATATTGCCTTCATTTGGGAGTGCGTTGTTAGTGGCGACAGTGATATGACTGGGGAAAAGTGTTTAAGAAACTAAACTTTAAAGATGACATGCTCAAGGAATACTCTAAGAAAAGCCTCTACTAAACCTTGTAATTTCTTATCCCCAAATCCTTATACACCTTCCGTATATAATCCTAAATCCAGCACTTATTTCTTGATGCCAGGGAACGGTGAACCACATCCACCTTCCGAATCGGATGTTAATTCAGTGAAACTACAAGGTAAGCTCTGTTCAGGAGCTCCATCTGGCCTTCCCTGGGGACTGCCTGCCCCCCATCCTAGCCCATTCCGCGCTCCATCAATCTTACAAAATCCAGCTTTTGCCGACTGTCTCAACCCTTTTCCTGGGGTTGGGGGCAGGGGCTGCCGCGTCCATTAACCCACATTCTAACACCCCACACTATGCACTGGGATCAGTCTAAATGTTTTTGTGTAAACACGAAAGTTCGACCAAGCGCTCCCTTGTCCTTGCCTTTCCTTCTCAAAATGTAATGTGGGTGGATGGGCTGGTGGATGGATGGGCTGATGGGTGATGTGGGTTGGTTGCAAGAGGACACAGTGCTCGGTAATTGTGTGCGCCTTTGTTTCCGTTGCAGCTTTTGCACTTTACTTCCTTCTTCGGGCTTTGTTTTTCGCACAGTGAGCAGAATAAGTGTATGACTCTGCAGCTGGAAGGGATTGCGGACCAGTGTCCTGGTCCTGCTAGTGATGACGTTTTCATTTTTAGCTTTTAAAACGTAAATGTAAAAATGGGCTTACCAAACTAACTCTTTGCCCTTGAGCCAATATTTATTATTTTGTATTTACTATTTATGTTGGGCTTTGTAGATCCTTTATCCTGAAGGCCGCTGGCATCACTGGTCGCTGGTTATCCTGGTGTTTGAACGACGGACAGCTTCAGCTCGCTACTTGTCCGGATTTTGCTAGCCTTCCGTTTTGTTGGCGCTCCCTTTGTTGCTGCCTCGCACAATGACTTAAGCTGAAATGTCAATTGGATGTGCATGGCATGGCGACCAGAATCGAGACAGGATGCTCCGAGCCGGGGGCCGGGGTGAGCCAGAAATGGAACAGGAGCAGAGGCACGACCATGGCGAAGCCCAGAAATGAAAATGATGAAAATACACC